AGTTTAGCTTAACTTTTAGATTTATGAATGCAAAATGGATATATTTTTGTGTTATGCATAGCATATCATGCTTTACGTGATTAGTTATGTAGGTTTTATGTCATTGTTTAGAGGTTGCTATCTTAATTAGATTTTGGCATGTACAGCAACCTATATAAACATTATTTTTGACATGCCATTATTGTACTTTGTAACTAACAGGTTTACTTTAAGAAATCGGTGCTTTTAAATTATTCATTAGATATTATTTTCTGCGATTTGGTTTGGTTTCTTGTCATTCCATACTAGTGTGATTGAACCACCAAGTAAAAATATTAATCACATTTTTATCAACGTGATCATGGTCTTGTTTGATAACTTAATTCATCATTTAAGTTTAATGGATTCAAATCTTAATATATTCAAACGTATTTAATAACCAAAAAATAAATTCGAGTAATGCGAAATAAAATCGAACTCGAGCTCGAGCTTAACTTTCAAAAGTTTGATGAGTTTGAGATCGAATTCAAGTTCAAGTTTTTTAACTTGAGTTAAACTCGAGTAGTGAGTTTGACTCGAATCGATTATACCCCTAGGTACAAATAGAAGTAAAATGTTATCTCTCCTCTTACATATATTTTTTAATGCATAAGAGATGATAACGTTATAGAACTTGTCAATCAATGGGAGGTAAGAGAGAGATTTGTGAAATTATCCCTTGATAGTTTTCAAAATTCTCATTCACTGAACACAATATGCTGTTCGCCCTTGATAGCTTTCAAAATGATCTGACGTTAAATTAAAGGACAAAAGGTCTAGTGGAAAACTAGAAAGAATAGTACTTTCGAAGTTACATTTTAACCCTCCACATATCACAACCATAAAAAACAATTACAAGAAAAGGTCATATATTACAGCAATCCATTTCAAACAATGGCAACGAATGTGAAATTGATTATTTTTTTCAATTTTCTGCATATTATATTAGTCCTTGTGTCACTTCATATAAGCTAAATTATGTCTCTCAAAAAAAAACAATTTACGTCATTCTATTCCACAAAAAAGGGAATTAAGAAACAAAAAAGGGCCAGTCAGATTCGTGTCATCTTTTGCGCTTTCATGATTGAGAGATTTATTATGTCCCAAGAATTCTTTTATTATTATTATTATTATTATGTCCCAAGAATTTATTTCTTTAGTACTTTTCCTTTCTCAGTTATTGGGAAAGAAGATATATATTTTAGACCTACCACATTATTCATGGGTATCAGGCATGTTTGTCTTTTTATTTTTTTTTCTTGTTACCCTTTATTCTCTGTTAGAAATTGCTCTTCTAATCGGATCTCATCTCGCAAAATAGTTATTGAAACTCTAATTTTTATAATGATGTTCCCTTTTGTAATCGCAATTCTACTTTTTTTAAATCTGCTTTCTCTTACTATAAAATTAAAATAGTGAAAGTATCATTACAAAAAAATAAAAATTTAAAAAAAGTGGATAGTCATTAACATTTTCCTTTTTTATATTTTTGAGGACTGATGAATTATCTGCCAACTATGGCGCCATTGTTCCTTTAGCTGGATAACTCCTTCAAGAAGAATGGATATAAAAAATAATGATACATGCTTTACTGATTGTTGTCATGTTGATGGTAAACAAGCCTTGTGGATAGGGTTGTAAATCGAACCAAGTAGTTAAATATTTGATTTGAACTTGGCTTGAATTATACTCGTTCAAACTTGTTTTTTTAGGTTTCAATCTAAGTATAAACATGATTTCAAACTCGAAAATATTAACTAACCAATCACGATTTTCACGTTGTTCAACTAGATATGTTCATAAACATATAACGCAAATAAATTTCATAAAAATATACTTATAGTTTCCTTCCTTAATTAACTCCACTTATTCCTTCCCGTATATATATTACTTATCTTCAAAAATAGCAAGTATATAATACTCTTGTCTCTTGAATAGGCATAATTGAATTGAATCACATCTCTAATTCATTATAATAGATTTCTTGAATAAGCATAATTGATTTTAATTACATCCATAATTCATTGTAATAGACTTCTTGAATATCAGAAACACTACAACAAAAATGGCCTTTAGCGGCATTTAAAGGTGTCAGTATAGATAATCTAACCTGACACTTTATCTATCCTCACACCTAGGGCGAGTGTTGTCCCTTCCAATGTGGCGATAGGCTCAAATCTTTAGCAGCATTCAAATGTGTCAGGAAAACCATGCTGCTATAACATTCCCTTTGCCAACAAAAATTTTTTTTTGTGATAATCGAAAGTGTCCGTATAGCATTAGGACATCAGTAGCGGATCAGTAGGATATCCAATTTATGAAGGCATCTTGAGTTGTCTTAATATATGGCTTTAAGGACACGTAGCCATGTGAATTTACACTGCTTTGGACGACATGCCCATTTGTCATTAGTGTTTTTCGAAGCTAAGCTATGCTGACACTTTCAATTGCCAAGAGTTTTTGCCCTGTTTTTTTTTTATATGGAAGCAACTTGCAATTAGTCCTCCCTGCTGTACATTCCATCAACCAGAATCCCAAGGGACTTGTAAAATTATCCCAAAGAGTAGAATGCATATAGCAATTTAAAAGAAGAAGTCAATACTCAAATATAATTCATTAAATTAAAAGTCGATAACAAGTATAAACATAGCAAGTACTAAAATCGCAAACAAGTGCTAAAAGCAAGTACTAAAATCCCAAACCAGTACCGAAAGATTCTCATTTACAATAACTTGAAAGACTTTCTTGTGCACAAACTAAAAGACTCTCATCCCTAACAAGTTGAAAGAAGTAGAAGTAGCTTTCAAACTTTCCATTTTGTTGAGAGTCCTCAGTCATAACCATGAAGTCCCCATCATTCTTCAGCTGGTTCCACCTGTGTACAAAGACCAAGGGGATCATTAGATCATCATAGCTAGAACTAAAATTCCAAAAAATCCGCAATGTATTTAAGTGCATATCTCACCAAATGACAAGGCCAAGCAACTGGTGCACCAAGTGCATCTTGAATTGTTTGTTGCAAATCATATGGTCTAATCAATTGCTCACGTGGACTCATTGCAACTTGTATCTGTATTTCACACCAGTTTGACCTCATCCAATGGATTCGGACTCCGTAAATATCCCTTTGCCACGATTTTTGTTGGGTCAAACAAACTTTTTAGTGAAACCATATTCCCTACCTAGTAAAGTGACGGGTATTTTACATACGTACAAGTTAAAAAACCGAATTATACCCGTTCACTGTAAGTATACAGATCAACTAGTAGTTTAGGGTATATATCGGGTCGATCCCATAGGAAGAGTGAACAATTACCGGTATTACTAAAATTTCTCCATTATTTAGACTATCAATGAATTATAACAAATTTAACCTACTGAAATTATACAAAATAACAAATAAAAGCTCCTTAGGTTGTGGTATCCCTAACTACTCATGCAAGTGCTATATTTGGATCATTGAGTACTACATCTAGGCTAGTTATGGTGTAATTTCCTTAAACATGTGAAACCTAATTTCGTAGTGAATCAACCATACTCATAACTAATCCATACCTATTTTCATGGTTATGAAATTAGCTACAAGTTCATTTTTTCAGTGAAATTACATGAAATGAATCACTAAAAACCACATAAGTGCACCTCTACTTTCGTGAGTGTACTCCCTATGTTTAGCACTTCTTGAACTAGTGTTAAATCTCAATTTTCATTGCAGAAACAACACCTTAAATAATCACAATCAATGGTACCAGATTAATCATGATTTAAAGAGCCAAAGTGCTAAATAACTTGCTCAAATCATAACAACCAAATAACCAAATAATAAACACTGACAATTATAGAAAGTTCAACCAAACCCAAGGCATAAATTTTAGAGACACATATTGAACACAAAATCCAGAACTTGTATATTAACTAAACTTGGAATCAAGTACAAAAGATAAAGAGTTTGGAAGGAATGTAACCCTTGTCACATGAGTTCATCTCCTTGCCTTCTTCATCCTCCATTTTCTTCTCCATCTAGCTAATAAACAAGAATGGCTAACACTCTACTCTATACTAACCTACTGCTACTACTCAGAAAATGCAAGAGCTACATCTCTGCACTTCAAGTTTCTCCCGTATGTCTCTCCTATTTTCAATAGTTTCTAGCTAGAGAGAATTTGCCATCAGAAAATCTGGCTACGTATGGATGTCCTGCTTCTTCCTTGTGTCTCTGCATAAAAGGTGGTAGAAGGGTCTTTTTTCTCTTTTATGATTTCAACCACTTAGATTTTGTAAAGGAAGTCAAAAGAAAATGTTGTTTTGACTTTCTTTAACTCATTTTGTCTTCCTTTTTGTTGCAGAAGCATGTGCCACCAAATTCACTGACTTCAAATAGCTGAAAAGTTGTGTGAAAAGTGACAAAAAAACAGCTGTGCCACTTGCAGAAGAGAGAGATAGATCCGAGCCTCGGATCCGAGGGGTGAAAATGGATCCGAGCTCGGATCGTTTGTACTCGGATACACTCCTCCAGAAGTACAGATGAGGGCTCGGATTTTTCTTGATTCACACGGATCCGAGCTCGGATCCGTGCTGGTATTTTCCACTTTTTCACATCTTTTCCCTTTTCTTCATTTTTGCTCCTAATTTCTTGTGTACTTGATCCTCTGGACAATCCTTGCACTTCTTTCAGCTCATGCATGAATTTCATACATCGATATTCCTTCATAATTTCACAAAATTAACGCATTAATCCACTCATTTATCAAATTTTGAACACTTAAACAATATTTAATCAATTATCACCAAAAGAGTTCAAATATGGCTTTAATCTTCTCAAAACATACCAAAAGTTCATGCTAAACTTATACAAAATATACATTAAATATTCACTTATCATAAAGATCCAACAAGTACAAGAATCAAACTCATGCCAAATTCTAGATTACAAATGTAAAAGTTTAAAAGTTGTAAATACTTACTCGAATAGGTCGCGTGGCTCATGATGGAGTATGGCTTGACACATTGTTAGATGATGATGAAGGATGTCTCAGGCTGTCAATTGGAGAGCCCCTTCCATGTTGAACTAAAACCATTTTCTTCAAGCTGGCTATTTCATCATCTTGTCGCTGAAGCCTTTCCTCCAAACGGACCAATGTTGACTGTTGTTGAACACTTATACGGTAACATGTGTTACGACTAGGAATGTCTTCCCATAAGTCTGTTGGATTCACACCATCACTAAACAAGCAAACATGACCATGTTTGTCTTGCTTAACCACCTGGGCAAATATATCATTGCGACCAATTGGATCTTGCGAATCCGATGGATGCTGATTTTTCAGTTCATTCATTTTTTCCTACATAATAAAGGAAAACACTTGTTATTGCAAAAGCCTGTCTGAAAACAATGATAGAATTTATAGGCTTGTGTTCTTGGATCCTTACCAAATTCTCAGCAACTATGGTACTTGATGGAGTTCCATCGGCATGGGTATAAAACTTATTGAACATTTCTACTCTAGTAGAAGGTCTTCCCAACTGTTTGGCCAATAAGAAGTTGAATTTTTTAAATTATAGTTTCAGCATTTAGCATATAATTAAAAACAAGCTAACATAATGAAACATGTATGAGTAAAAAAAATTAGCAACTAAAAAAAGGATGAGGTATCACCAAGTGGTTCCGAAGATGAGCAAATGACTTTTTTTCGGTTGTGTGGTCCATCTTCTTCTCCCCTCTAGGTTTCTTGTTCCTCTCACTTAGTTTCTAAATTTCAAAATCAAAAGCAAGATTACAGCATTGAATAAACACAACTTTATGAAGAATGTTGTAGCTGATTTGTACCTTTGCTTCTTCACTTTTCCAATAAGCCCAAAGTTTGATCCATTGCTCTTCCCGTACCCTTATGTCTTTTTGAAACCGAGCTTCAGCATTTGGCACGGCAGGATCAAAATATATAGCCTTTAAATCTGCCTTCCAGCTTCTCCATTTTTGCCAATAGATCTTAAGGTCCAAGCTTCCAGTCCCATAGGCAAAGCAAACCTTTCCTGAAACGTAGTTATGAACAAGAAAATCAACATAACTTCACAGTAATTTTTGTAGAAAGCATACATAATACAAAAGCTACCTTTACCTTTATCACTTCTAACATGTCCCTTTTAAGTTTCCTTGGCATCTTAAGCCAACTTTCAACATCTATTGGACAACACATACCATTCCTAGCCAAACTGCCCAAGAATTTAGAGAAAGAGGTTTTCTCACTTATTGGGATCCCATTGTCATCGAGTTTAATCTCAATCCGTGGAAGGTCCTTAGGCCGATCCCAAATTTCTTTCATAAATGTAGGCCTCGGGTTTTCTGATGTACTTCACTTGAATCATTTGTAGTTTCTTTTCCTGTATAAAATAAGAAAAAGGTGCAAGTTATGAACATAAAAAATGCACTTTTGGAATTGGTTCAAAATAGTTAGTAATACCTGCATCGTCCGAGTTGCATGACATGAAGGTGGTGTCATTGGAATGTGGACCTCGAGAATCCTAATTTGGATTTTCTTCAGTTGGTTCATGCCTTGTTCCAAGTGGAGATTGTTGAATTGGAGAGTTTTGGCACTGCTCATGCAACTGTGAACCTCCATCAGCTTGTTGAGTAACTTGGTCACCTGATTCATGCATTATTCCCAATGTAGAATTCTGAATTGGAGATTGAGGTACCCGAGCAGCTTCTCCTTGAACTTGTTCAATTACATTTTCATGGCTTGTTCCAAGTGGAGGCTGCTGCCTTGTTTCATGACATGAGGGAGGTTGCTCAATTGGTTCATCTCTCAATCCATTTGTAGCACGCTTACATTTTCGACCTCTACAGGCCATACCTGCATCATTCACCATTTATTTGATACCAGGTCCACCACCATATATATATTTTTTGGGTGAAGAAAGGGACAAATGTAAATGTTTAAAATTTATTGAAGCAAACACTCTATCTATTGCAGTGCATCAATCTGGGATAATGGATAAAGTATGCAAGCTAAAATTAATGAACAAGTTATCTTGACTACAGCTTACATTGCAAGCCGAGCTCAAGCATATTTTTATTGAACTAATTTTGAGTTGCAACGAATATTATTGAATCAATTGTATATCAAACTCGGGCAGTTTGCTTCTAATTATATTTGAAAAACCTTTTTGCTTATAAATCAGAACTTGAAAACAACTTTAAGAACTTGATGATTACAGTTGGGTAAATTTGACAAAACCCACAAATCAATTCTCAAAATCCTAGTACTATCATCTCTATCAACAAAATGTTCTCACGTCATGAGGTCTGCTCAGGTCATGTAGTTCCATTTGAGAGGTTACAGAAAAGCTCCCTTGGAAAGTAAAAACAAAACAAAACCAAAAGAAGTCCATCATTCATGGGGAAACCCCCTACTTGCTCAAATCAAGCAGTCCAGTACACAATCATTTGCTGGTGAAAAACAAAACTAACAGAATAGGCATTTTAGAACCCAATATCTACCAAGTACTAGCAAAGGCACTTACAATTTTCAACAATCATACTAGAATCCAGAGCTATCATTTTCATTTGTGACTACAAATTTCCTCATAAACAATCAGCACCAACAATTTAGAAGTCCATCATTCATGGGGAAAAAAAACTTTGGAAATTTATTCTTTAAAACTGTAACAGAGAGCAACTGACAATACACAACACTACGTTGCATTTGATAGCTCTCACAAGCCACATTGTCCTAACCTGACAGGAAACAAGAACAGATAGCATCTCTACCAGGCTTTTGACCTATGCAACTAGAAATGTGCTTCTTAGAAACGGAGAAGAAGCTTGTCAGAAATGGGAATCGAACAACCTAAAAACTAAATCTGACAAGAAACGGAGAAGGTGTGCAAGAACATGTCTACCATGCAATGCAAAATTAGACATAAAATACTGAAATTACCTCAAACTATGGCTTGAATCCCTAACTTCTCGGTTTCCCCAAGCTTCAAGATCTGAACTCCAGCTTTCACCCAAGCTTTGAAGCCCTAATTTCTGATTTCTTGCCACCAAGCCAATGCAACAGCTGAATTAGGGATTTTCATGGTGCGAGCTCAACAAAGTTACCCAAATGGGTGCGAGTTCATGGACGGGTTTACCCAAATTAGTGGTGCGAGCTTGAAACAGAAAGAGAGGACAAAGGGAGAGGACAACGAGAGAGGGAGAAGATGTCTGAAATAAAGGCGGTACTAATGATGCCAAAGTAAATTAGTCAAGCCTCTTGAATTTTTCACTTTGCCACGCTACTAATGACAATTTTTGTGTGTTTGGGCAACATTTTGTTAAAACTATATAACAACTAGAAATATAACAACTAAAAATTTTGTTAAAGCTATATAACAACTAAAAATTTTGTTAAAGCTATACACAATATAATATAACAACTAAAAATATAACAATTAAAAATTTTGTGAAGCTAACAAAAAACATTCTTTTAATCAAAATGTTTTCAGTACTCAATATACTTTATGCTGCTAGCAATTATGTACGGCTTGTAGTCTAACAAGCCATTAGAAGGATCGAATTAGTTTATGGAACAAGAAAATGAACTTGTGAATACATGAACTTTCCACTGATAAACGTTAGGATTAGAATTGATTGAACATATATATATTCAATGTTTTCAATGCCAAAGCAATTGCCGTTCAACTTTGTTTTAATTAGAAGCTATTAAACACTTAGAAGATCTTAAAATTGAACTTTTCACTGATAAACCTTAGGCTTACACTTAGAATTGATTGAACATATATATATATATATATATTCAATGTTTTCAATTCCAAAGCAATTGTTGTTCAACTTTGTGTTAATTAGAAGCTATTAAACACTTACAAGATCTTAAATTTGAACTTTCCACTAATAAACGTTAGGATTAGTGGAAAGTTTGATGGTTAATCCAAAATTTCGACTAAACCGATTAAACTCGATCAAAGATCAGTTATGGAGTGGACATAATATGCAATAACAATCCAAGTTTGGAATGATCGGTTCGCTCGTGTCTCCAGTCTTGTTCAATGGTTAATCCAATAATTCAATTAAACTGAACAAAGATCAGTTATGGAGTGGACATAATATGCAATAACAATCCAAGTTCGGAATGATCGGTTCGGTCGATTCAATCTGTTCGATCGTGTTTCCAGTCTTGTTCAATGGTTAATCCAAAAATTCAATTAAACCGAACAACCTTCAATCAAAGATTAGTTATGGAGTATACAAAATATGCAATAACAACGTTTGATCAGTATGATCGGTTTGATCGTGCTTGATCGGTTCGATCGTGTCTCTAGTCACTTTGATGGTTAATCCAAAATTTCGACCAAACCAATTAAATTTGATCAAAGATCAGTTGGACCGGAAAGTTCTATCGGAATTCACTTTTTGAATTGTTATTTTTTTAAAAAATATTTTCTCCATTGTATTAGAAAATTATTTAAGAAATTTAGAGATTAAAGTTTCAAATTATTTCTATTGATAAAAATTTAGAGAGGGGTGATTGGGAAAAAAAATTGGCCATAATATAATGATTCACTAGATTAATATTACATCTTACAATTAATGGAATTGCTTATAAAATAATGACCAATATTTATCCAGCCCATTGGGCTCTTAAAATTAGTAATGGGTTCCTTGGAAAATTGGGTTGTTTTATGTTTGGTCTGAATTGATTTGCAAAAATTACATTATATCTTACACTCAAAAGTTTAAAAAACAAAAAAAGAAATAATTATTGTAATTATAAAAAATAATAATAATAATTTTGTTAAAACATTTAACGAATCATAATCAAACTTGAAAGTGGGTTTAATGGATAGCAATTTGCCATAACACAAAGGCAGATAAAGATTGCACAGAACATTTCAATTGAGGCCATGTATGGTGTACGGGCAGATGCTTGAATAAACACCATGAGCTGCAATTCCGTAAATTTGAAACCATATTTGTCCCTTCAAATTTAGTTGTTGTGTATAATAATCAAATGAACCAAAACTCACAAGCTTCCTTCCATTTCAAACCTCGGCCTTCCATTTCAAAACAGTTACAAAGCCTAAACACTTACTAACACCTTATATGGGAAACAATGAAACAATGTCCAGGTCCAAATTTCATCTGTTCCATTGTACAATAAATTCTAACGTCTAACTTTCAAAGAACAATACAAGACCAACGAAATGTAGGCCAGTAATTGGCGTTGACCTCAACAAAATTTTAAAAATGATACCAACTGTTATAAATGAGTTGTACTCCCTGAATTGCAAATTGAAATAAATGACAGCCAGTAGTAGAGCCCTAGCAATTGAAACAGAGAACAATAGGGCCAACAAGCTTAGCAACTATAAAAGATACTAAATCAGATTATATTGGGACAAATCAATATCAATCCCGAGTCCATCCTCATGAACCCAACTAATTTCCTCATTTTCATTCTCAACAACAGGATTGCCAACATCGCTTTGCAAATATGTCTCAACATCCATGGTTGTGCCCATGTTATATCCAGCTCTTGCAGTGGTAGAGATAACAACTTGCCAATCCTTATCGGTTGGATCTTCCACATAAAAAACCTGTGATGCTTGTGAAGCGAGTATAAATGGCTCAATATGAGGCCTCACATTTGAAAAATTGACTACAGTAAACCCATCACCATCTTGTTTCATCTCGAACCATTGATATCCAATCACATTCAAATAACACCACTCGACGACCTCCGTAAATTAATTCAATCATATTTTTCAAGACGCCGAAGTAAACTAGTTCACTCAAAACTGGATTTTGATCCCTTATACTTGCAAAACTGGATGCATTGACTGTAACACCACTATTCTGCGTTTTTCTTTTCTTCTCAACTTCGTTGATGTGAAACCAAAATCCATTAACAACGTACTTGTTATGTTGGGTTCCAACAACATCTGGATCTTTAGAAAGGAACCTCAAGTCTCTCAACACCGAAACATTTTGAGGAAGTTCTAACTTGTCAATCTGTAAAAAAAAAAAAAAAGATGAAACTATATTTGAAGTCCTACAATTCAAATTGTACTTAATATTCAGAATTTTACTTACATGTTTAGCAAACCAACAAGCAAAATTTTTGCCGTGCAAGCGCTCTTTTAGATGCTGTGGAACTTGAGGATGTCCTTCTTCTATCAATCTACGATGCTGCCTTGAAGTACATGAGTCAAAATTGTAATCATACATTGAATTCTACAATAAAATTTTAATGCATCAAGCTGTAGTTGAACTTACTCTATGTAATGTGTGACAGCATCACTGTTAAATAAAAATATACTGATGTGCTTTACTCAAGATATGAGCATCAAAGACTGTTGGCTTGCCCCTCCCCAAAGGATGTCCTGATTCAGAAAATATATCTAAACCCTCTTCAATTTCCTTATGTACTTCTTCATTTCTGCTTGGACGATTGAATTTTGTCTCAACATAGTCCGCAAGATACAATGAGCAAAAGTTTATGCATTCTTCTGCCAAGTAGCTTTGAGCAATCGAACCTTCAGGCCTACTTTTATTTTGAACATAAGATTTTAATGTTCCTAAGTACCTAAAGTATCATTATTACAAACTCTCTGTTATTTCCACAAATCAAAGATAGAAAAAAAGTAATAAACATTTAAGGCATAATTAGAATTACAAGCAATACCTCTCTACAAGATACATCCAACAATAATACACTAGGCCACCTAATTTCATTTCAGTTGCCAAATGAATAGTTAAATGCACCATGACATCGAAGAATGTTGGTGGAAAGCATTTCTCAAGATCGCAGAGTATAACGACAATTTCACTTTCCAAACGAACCACATCTTGAGGACAAATAACTTTAGAACAAAGCTGCCTGAAGTATCTACTCAATCGAATCAAAGGATAGCGCACTGATTTTGGCAAAGTCTTTCTCAAAGCTATAGGCATCAATTGCTACATTAGGATATGATTATCATGACTTTAAGGCCCCGAAATTCTTGGTGGTTTTACTCGAACGCATCTTGAGACGTTAGCTACATAACCATCTGGAACTTTCACTTTTTTTTAGCACATTGCAAAACATAGTTTTCTATTTTTGATCCATTGCAAAGGAAGATGGAGGTAAGTACACCTTTCCAGGTTCTGTCTCAATGGGATGCAGCTCTTTTCTTATTTCCATTTCTCTCAAATCACGGCGGGAATTATAATGGTCCTTTGCTTTATCCTCAATGTCCAGCAATGTCCCCCAAATGTTTTCACAAAAAATCTTCTCAATGTGCATGAAGTCAAGAATATGTCTTAAGACATTATCTTTCCAATATGGCAAGTCAAAGAAAATACTCCTCTTTTTCCAATTAAAAGACAGCTTCGGATTACCTTTCACAAGTTTTCCAAATTTAATTTGCAAGTCTCCCAATTCACTCACAATCATATCAAGGGCGGATTTAAAGGGGGACACTGGGGGCACGGGCCCCCACTGCCCCCCTTAAATTCCTATAATACATATACAATTTTGACATAATTTTAAATATGGCCCCAGAATTGTTTTTAGAAAAAATGTGAAAGAATGGGTGACAAAATTTATATCATTCACTTTCCTCATCTAGTCCCCATTTTTCTCCCAACAAGGCCAAATACCAATTATATCAGTCATTCCTTTTGGTCCCCACTCCCCAAGTTCCCTCTACTCCTGTGGTCCCCCATTTCCCTTCATAACCGGCTCCTCTTCTTTCACACCTAAGCCAACTACTCTTTCTTTTTATCACTTCATCCAATTATCATTTACTTCCTTTGTCCCCACTCCCCAATTTCCCTTTTCTCCTCTGGCTCTCGGTTGTCCCCACTCCCCAACATACATACGAGAGCTACTTTTTCTTCCACAACCAAAGCTTGTTATTCTTTCTGTTGATCACTTCATCCGATTTAGAGATTGCACCAGAATCAATTGATCTTCTAGAACCTTGGTCCGCCACATTTTGCAGCTCTTTTCACCAACTTTAGGAGACCATCAAAATCAGGTTCTAAACAATTACTTCTTCTTATTATTATTTTAAATTTGTTTGCAAATATATTTCTAGAGTATGAGACTATTACTGTTTTAAAGAAATTTGAAAATTGATTAGTTAATGTAATAACTAATAAATGGGTTATTTGATAAATATTTTAACTTGTGAAATGGTGATTTTATGCATGAGACTTTTTTTTTTTTGCTTAAAAAATTAAAAAAGAGTAGATAAAAAATTTTAGTGTTATTTTTGCCCCCACTAAGATTTTTTTCTGGCTCCGCCCCTGAATCATATCCCCAGTTTGCAAAGGTGGTCGCTTTCCATATTTTTCGGTGCCATCAAAGAATTGGGCTTGCTTTCTAAATTTATGCTACTATCTAAGAATCTACGATGATTCATATAGCAATATTTGAAACTATGAGTCAACCGTCGTGCATGAGTGAACTTGTGACAAATAGGACAAGCATATTCACCTTTAGTGCTCCACCCAGATAACATTGCATATCCAGGGAAATCACTAATGGTCCACAACAGAGCTGCATGCAATTGAAAATTTTCTTTTTGGGATGCATCATAAGTTTGAATGCCAAAATCCCACAATTTGGTCAGTTCTTTAACTAGAGGCTGTAGATAAACATCAATATTATTCCCAGGAGAGAATGGTCCAGGTATTAACAAGGACAACATGAAGTACAGTTGCTTCATACACATCCACAGAGGTAAGTTATATGGTATTAAAACCACATGCCAAGTACTGTGTGTAGAACTCATGTTGTTGAATGGATTAAACTCGTCAGATGCCAACCCCAATCTAACATTTCGACAATCCTTAGCAAATTCTGGATGTAGATGGTCAAAAGTTTGCCAACCTGGAGAATCAGCTGGATGTCTCATACAACCATCTTTTGTACGTTTTTCCTCATGCCATCTTATTTGAGATGCAATTTTAGAAGACATAAATAGTCTTTGTAATCTAGCTTTTAAGGAAAAATGCCACAATATTTTTTGAGGAATTTTTCTTTTTTCACCAGTTCGATCATTTTCTGAAGCAACCCACCTAAGCTCGTTACATGTTTCGCATGAAGTTCTTTTTTCAGCACTACCCCAATAAAGAGAACAATCATTAGACCATGCATCGATCTTTTTATAACCCAGCCCCAATGTATTCATCAATTTCTTAGCCTCATAGTAAGAAGAAGGCAAATTAGTCATGGCCTCCGGAAATGCTTCTCTCAACAGCTCAATAAGCATATTAAAAATCTTGTTACTCATCTTACCAAGGCATTCTAGGTGAAGCAAATGAATAATGAAAGACAACTTCGAGAAATTTTTGCAACTACTGTACAAATCCTGTTGAGAATCATCAATCAATTTGTAAAATTTTTCAACATCTGAAACAGGAAAGTCCCCTTCTCTATTCAATTCATTTGATCCATGTGGTATCCCAAATACATCATGGACCAAGTCTTGCATGTCATTAGTCCCATTTGAAACCCCAATTGATGTATTTTTAGAATTAGATGTGGCTTCATTGTAGTTTGAAAGTTCTCCATGTACTATCCAATTATTATAACCCTTGATAAAGCTTACCACTTTCAAATGATTATATGCTTCCATTTTAGTCACACAAACACCCATGCCGCAATCTTTGCAAGGACACAAAATCATTCCGTCACAACTTGATCTAGAAAATGCAAAGTTTAGAAACATTTGAAGTCCTGCCCTATACTTTTCACTTGTTCTTGGAAAATCCATCCAACTTTTATCCATACTTTTAATATAAATAAATGTCCTCCAACAAGCTTCCAACAGCATGAAAACAACAACTACACATTAGTACTAAATCAAGCAGTCTCTAATTGCAAGTTCAAGAATTAACAGTCTCCTAAATCAAGCAGCCCAACAAATAAAGGAAATCAACAAAATGCACAATTTCTCAACAATCTGTCAAAACAGAAATTGCAAGCAAGCGAATAAAAATTTTATTTACCTAATAACAGGACAAAGCTCTTCGTACCAACTCCTGCGCTCGCATCTTCGCAAAATTCCTAAGTTCAATCTGAAATGTCAAAGGTTAAACAAACATATGACCGTGAAGACTAAAGCTGAATTTCAAGACTCATACTAAATTTCCATCAAAGTATACATACATCTGTCACAGTCATAATCTCTCACAGTCATGTCTTAATGGACTAGTTTCCAAGTTATGGGAGTCTGATGCATGAAAGTATACATATTGACATAATTGTAACTCAAAGAAGCTTGAATTAGGTTGATAGGGACAAATGCACGGTGACTGTTAAGAAGGTTTTGATTGATTAATTTATTGAAGTTAGATGACCAATGGGGTTAGATTTCAGCCATCAACCTCGCTTCGCTCTCAGCTTGCTGTCTTGCTTGGCTGTATCAATGTGATAGATTATTTAATATCTACTGGCTGTATCAGTGTGCATAGAAACAGAAACCAATAATGTTGCTTAGCATTAGATCCAAAGAAAAAAGGAAACCAAGAAACCTCTACACTAGCCGACTAAATTTAAGCCAACTAAAACTTGAAAAAAACATATATCACAAGAACATGGTAAGAGGTTCTTTTCACATTTGGATAAATGTTGCCGTGCAAAATCAAGAATGAAGAAAAATATGAACATAGTTGCTTAAAGAGAACTTCAATTATAACTTAAGTTTCATAAATTAACATTAAAAGAGATTCAGAGAAAATAATGAAAAACAAGGGGGGATTGACATTTTATCGACAGGTTATGGGCAACAGGTTCATTGTGTTTACCACTTTCTTTTGGAACAACATATGCCTGAAGTATCTTCCTGCTTTCCCAATGTAGAACTCCAATCTTCTAACTTTTACTCCTTGTCTGTCCTTCCAGATGTCTTAGCCGAGGGACAACAGTTGATGTTAGAAAAGATGAAGCTGGTTTTCAAGGTGCTTGGATTCCTACAACTTTCTTTTGGCCGAGATATAGCTTGTTTGCGGAGAGGTGAGAGAGATGAGAAGAAGAAAATTTTGGCCGACACATATAGCTTGTTTGCCGGCAGAATGAAACTTCAAAGTATTTCACCAAGTGCTTCACCAAGTATTTCACCAAAGTGTTTTGGATTTTGCCGGCAAAATGTTTTGGCAAATTTTCACCAAGTTTTGGCAAAATAAAACGACGTCGTTTTGTGTCCTTTTTTTTTTTTTTTTTGGTCATCTCACATTTTTCTGAGTGTCATAACAGGTAGTCTAAAGGCACATTATTATTTTTATATCAGATAAAATAAAAAAATTTATAGTACATATTATTGAGTTGATTAATAAGTGTCATGATAGGATTACTATAATAACACAAACCAGAAAGTGTCCTTATAGGAATGTCAAGAAAGGCTATTTTTGTTGTAGTGAAAGTATAACATAAAATCTTTATATAAATCTTTATATAATACAACATAAAATTTCAGGTGAAGCCAAGTCTTGATTATATATGCTTGAACTTGATATTTTGACAAGCCAAACTATGTTTTTCGTGAACATACATATGAAATTTTAAGTTAAACTCAATTAGTTTCTTTCAAAAAATTATTAAACATAAGCCAAATTCAAACAGTTTTTTTAAATTTTCGAATCAATCCTAAATATAATTCTGTCCGACTTGTTGAGTTTTGTTTTCAACCCTACTTGTGGACATTATTGCTGAAACTTGAAAGACTTCCACTAGACTAGGTTCCCCTTCTTCATTGCACAGGGAGAAATTTCTCCATTACACTAGAATAACAGCGTTCACAATGTAGAATCAACACCAGAAATTTCCACTTCTTCATTGTTTTTGAAAATACTCTATAGCATCAACATCGTTCACAATGTATGCCATCACTCATTCTAGTTATACACAAAAGTTAAAATCAAATTGATTAAGGTTTGCCGTTTAAGTAACCTTTACGAATTTGTCATGGTTTTGATCTAATTTTCACCCTTCAAAATTTTATCGCAAATTCTATGGAAAATTGTTCTCAAATGGATTTCATTTTTAAATATGGATCTACTCACCAACAAAAAAGGGAAAAAGAGTGACACAATCCGATGGTTTTTAAAATTAGAAATAGTAAATTAATAGGAGGAGAACATTCATGGAGAGGAGCCCATTCCGACTTCCTTAATTATTGGCTAAGTCCAACCTTTAAAAAATTCTTATATCAAATAATTGATAGGGTTATTATCACTTCACCCCCTTAACATTTGGTACTTCTATCAATTTCCCCCTTAAAATTATTTTTTAATCACTTTACCTCCAAGACTAACGGTCAAACTTAACGGAGTTTGTTAATTAAAGTGAAAAGGCATATTTAACCCTTAAAATTATTATCACTTTACCCCTATAAAATATAGTCTCATTATCAATTTACCTCATAGAGTTATTTTTTAGGCAATTTATCCTACCATTAAACCAACTTAACAAGTTAAAGAACTTTAAAAGAAAATACCTTCCTCTTTGCATAATAAAAATAATTAAAAAAATTTAGAGTGATTCTTCTCCTTTTTAGTATAAAAAAAAGTCAAAATATTAATTTTTTTCTTCTTGGCAGTCTATTTAATATTGAAAAAAATAGAAAGATGGGGAGAGGGAAGGGGGTGAGGGAGAGAGAGAGCTCAATTCTTTTTTTTTTTAAATTACAAATAAGAAAGAATTAAATACTTTTATTATTTTGAAATTATTTCACTTTTTGTTTATCACCAAATGCCAATTCTAATCCCGACATCCTTAAAGTAATACGATAATATTAGACATTTCTTTGTTTTTCTTTTTTGCAAAATCTAACTTTGTCTCCTTCTTTTCTATCTCTTTTTCTTTTCCTAGTATTAATAAGTGTGAAAAAAGAAATTTGAGAAAACCCTTTTATTTTTATGTTTTTCGATCTCTTAAAGTGAAAAAAAAAGAAAGAATAACCATTCCAACTTTTTATTTTTAATTATATATAAAAAAAGGGTAAATATATGTAAATTTTTTGACCATACTAGTTAGATTAATGATGAGGTAAAATATCTAAGAAATAATGTTAGGAATAAAGTGATTGTATCACTATAAACCAAACGAATAAAGTGATAATAATAATGTAGTAATGCAATAAAATAAAAGAGTATTTTTGTTCAAAATTTCTTAACATGTTGAGCTGAATTACTTATGGGGGTAAAGTGACTAAAAGATAACGTTAGAGGGTAAACTGATAGTAGTGATATAGTTTAGGGGTAAAGTAATAATAACCCTAATTGATATGGCTGCACATTATTTGGGTCAATTACTTTATTGGCGAAGACAAGTTCCCCCACATTAATATCTAATTCATTTTCCAACCACCCCAGCAATCCCACCCCCCCAAAAAAAAAGGTGGTATACTTTGAAGCCACAACCACTAGCCCAGGTTGGTGGCCACCACCAATGCATTAAGGCTTATCTCCCCACTAATTTGTCACAATTAAATGTGGCCTTATTTAAAAAATTCAGGTGGGTGTGTAGTGCGCTCGTCTGGTCCGGTAGTGGTTCAATCCCCTCCGAGTTACTACAAGACCTCTTCAGACCCTCCCCCTCCCCCTCCCCCTCCCTATAGTGTAGGAAACTATTGTATCAACAAAAAAAAAAAAAAGTATACTCTAAAGCCACCACTCTTTAAGGATGGCAATTTTAAGTAAAAGAAGAAATGCAACATTCTAGTCTAGATTAAATTAAAAAAAAAATTACTTGCTAATATTGAAGCAAGTTTTATAATTTTTAATATAAAAAGAAGGAATTTTATTACTAAGATTACTAGAAATCATCCAACAGAAAATGATTGACAAAAGTTGGAAGAAAATTCCAAAGGAATTCAACATAATCAGATGATTTGGCATAAGGAACTAATCCATGAGCAACTTTGCTTACACCCAATTTACATCAATAGAGCTAGAATTTGGCATAATGAGCCAATCCACGAGCAATTTTGTTTGCACCCAATTTACATCAATAGAGCTATGATCTGATAACCTATTCTAATATCATTAATCAAAGGTTCGGCAGCATCCTCAGAAGAGGGCACATTTTGAATGATTCCCAGTGCATCACCTTCGAGAATAAATTGGGAGATGAACAAGTTTTTAGCCATAAAGATAGCTTTCTTAGCAGCAATTGCCTCAGCCACTTCCGGAGTAACAATACCACGAAATAAGCAAGTCAAAATGTTAATAAAACTTTCAAGGATGAATTATTGCAAAAAGAAGTTTAAGATGCTTGTTCTTCTAGCATCACAATTGCAAACTCTGCTACAGTTATCGTTGATTATTTGTGAAAGGAAATTGAAAATGAGATTTAAGAGGCGGGGCAGTTGGCTGTTGTCCTGTTACATGTTATCTGATAGCGGTCAAAATAGTATCCAATTCCAAACACTGGAGAAAAAGCACATCCTAACCCCGGAATCTAGGACGATATCAATGAACTCCAGACTTAATTAGTCTATTAAAAAGCCAACAAGGTTACTTTCTTTGATCGTTAATTCAGGTTTTCTGGAAGAATTAATTTGTGTACTAATGGTTTTTGTCAAGAATGAACTTAGAAAAGGGGTATGAAGTTTGATTGACCAAATTCTATTGATCAGGTTTCAAAGAAAAATGGCATGGATTTTCCTATGCTCAATTCTTCTTTTGATCCTATTTCTTCTTCGTGGTCCACCAGGTCCTCCAGGGCTTCCTTTCATTGGAAACTTGCACCAATTTGATAGTGCAAAGCCTCATGGATACCTGTGGAAACCTGTGTTTTTAAACTCGGATCGGACCGGCCGGTCCGACCGGTTGAACCGGGAACCGGCCAAGTGTCCGGTCCGAGTTGGTCATCAGAATCGGAAGACTTAAAACTCGGTCAACTTCGGTCAAAAACCGGGTTTGACCGGGTTTGACCGGAGAAAACCCGGAAAACCGGTTCAACATTGCATTCAAATATTGGCCAACCGAATTGGGGTGTTTGGTCAATCACTCGCCAAGGACAAGTGTTAATGGTGTGATCCTCCTGATCCTAAACTAAGTTAGTTTGAAAAGCAGCTATATCTGGGCCCACACGAAAAAGATAGCTGTTGGAATACAGGAGCGGCCGGTGAAATAAAAACACGGCCTCTGTTTCGGATGTTGTAAAAAAAAGTTCAAATTTTTTTAATATTATGTTTTAACCCCCTAAATGGTTAAAACTTATTAATACACATCAAATATTTCATACTTTATAAATATTATCCCAAAATTTGATGTTATTTTTCAATTAAATTCATAATTTTAATTCTAAACTTGTTAATGTTTATTAAATAATATAAATTGCTACTTGATTGTTCTAATTTCTTTTTATTTTCTTATTAAATATATTTGAAATATCAAATATATATGAATATACCTTTATTAATATTAACATGCTATGAGGTATTTTATATATAATATTTTAATTTTTAAATAATTTTTATTTATGACGTCATCTGGTTCGACCCCAATCAAACCCGGTTGAACCCATTGACCCCTGACTTCTGAGCACGACCGAGTCGATACCCGGTCCGGTTCTGAAAACATAGGTGGAAACTATCCAAGAATTACGGGCCTCTCATGTCTTTAAGGCTTGGTTCTGTGCCAGTAGTTCTGATTTTTTCATCGAAAATGGCAAAAGAAGCCCTGAAAACCCATGACCTTGTATTCTATGGAAGGCCAGCATATGTTAGCCATAAAAAATTATCATACAATGGCTTGGATGTTGCATTTCCACCTTATGGTCAGTATTCAAGGAAGATGAGGAAGATTTGCGATCTTCATCTCTTTAGCCTCGGTCAAGTTCAATCCTTTTCGCCAATTATTCAGGATGAAATTTCCCACTTAATACAGAAGATATCAAATCTTTCTTGTGCATCTAAAGTAATCAATTTAAGTTCGATTATGATGTCGCTTAGTAGCACGATAATTTGTCAAATTGATTTTACAAGAATCGCAGGCCATGATGGGAGGGTTTTTCATCTCTGATCACCTTCCTTCATTGAGCTGGATTGATAAGCTCTCAGGGATGTTTGCTCGTCTAGAGAATAATTTTAAGGACTTGGATTTGTTCTACCAAGAGCTCATAGATGAGCACCTCAATCCCAATAGGCCAGAAACAATGAAGGATGAGGTTCTTGATATCTTGATCCAGATAAAACAAGAACAATCATCAGGATTTGCACTTTCTTGGGATCACATCAAAGCATTGCTCATGGTAATTCCCTTTTTATTGTAATACAATACTTTGCTTCTCATTCTTTTTGGCCATTTTTCCTAGGACAACCTACCTTTTGTTCTGCCAAAGGTCTAAATTTTGGCGATCAATTAAATTTTGCATCATCGACGTGTTAATCAATTAATTTTTGCATCATCTTTGTCACTAGACGTGTGGAAGTGTTATTTTGTGGTCATTAAAATTTTGTTTGCGATGTTAAGATAGGATTCATCACAGGAACACCAACAAACATTTCAACGCTTGTTTCGTTTGCCTCAGTTATAACCAAGCCAGCCAATTCTGAAGTGGTAGTTGTGATTGGCATAAACAACAATTCAACGGACATTAGACAGATTCCTAAGCAAGTGTTTTGCCTAATTCACGGGAGTGTTTGGTTAGAACGATAATATAGCTACAATTTAACAGGTGCACAGTCAAACCGATACAAATAAACTCTGTTTTAAAACTCGGACCGGACCGGCCGGTCGAACCGATCGAACCGGGAACCGGCCAGGTAGCCGGTCCGAGTCATATTAAAAAACCGGAAATTTAAAACCCGGTCAAAGCCGGTCAAAAACCGGGTTTGACAGGAAAAAAACCGATTTTTCCGGTTCAACAGTAATTTTTTTAAAAAAAATTCAAACTTTTTAATATTATGTTTTGACCCCCTAAATTGTTAAAACTTATTGATATACCTCAAATATTTGATACTTTATAAATATTGTCCTAAAATTTGATGTTATTTTTCAATTAAATTCATAATTTTAATTCTAAACTTGTTAATATTTATTAAATAATATAAATTGCTACTTGATTGTTCTAATTTCTTTGTATTTTTTTTGTTAAATATTTTGAAACATCAAATATATATGAATATACCTTTATTAATATCAATATATTATTAGATATTATATATATAATATTTTAATTTTTAAATAATTTTTATTTATGACGTCATCCGGTTCGACCCCTATCGACCCCCGGTCGAACCCATTGACCCCTGACCTCGGCCGAGTCACTATCCGGTCCGGTTCTGAAAACATAGCAAATAAGGATTCAACGAGTAAAACTTAGACCTTTTTACTTATTATTTTGGGACATGGATACTCCAAATAGGGAGGCCGAAATGGGAGCCGGGAGGCTTGAGAGTGGGCCTGGGAGACCTAAAATTGTTTATCATAAAACACCCAATGATTGTTTGTCCATTCATTTTTCTTTTAGTTATGTTGAATCCCCAGAAAGAATCACCATGATTGATATTTACATCCTTTTGTTTACTAATTTCTACAATGCAGAATATATTCATAGCTGGAACAGAGACAAGTGCAGCCACAGTTGTTTGGGCTATGACAGCCCTGATGAAGAATCCTTCAGCATTGAAGAAAGTACAAGCTGATATTAGAGATTTGGTTGGACAAAAAGGAGCTGTAGTAGAAGAAAAACTTCAGCAGCTTCACTATTTAGATGCAGTAATAAAGGAAGCTCTAAGATTGTATCCCACTGCACCAGTTCTAGTGCCAAGAGAAACTATAGAAAATTGCAACATAGAAGGCTAATGGGCCATATCTAGAGATCCTGAAAGCTAGGAAAGGCCAGATGAATTCATTCCTGAGAGATTCTTGAGCAATACTATAGACGTCAGGGGAAATGATTTTGAAGTGATTCCATCTGGAGCTGGAAGAAGAGGATGCCCTGGAATTTCTCTAGGACGGTCAATTGTGAAACTTGCACTCGCCAACCTTCTTTATTCCTTTGAATGGGAGTCGCCGTCCGGGATCAGAACAGAAGATGTTCATACCAATGTTTTGCCAGGAACAACTAGAAAAATGCGCTTTGAGTTTTGGCCAAGTAATATCTCGATCAAAGCTCTTAACACTGCAGAGAGCGAACATTAACGGCATGTATTTTTCTTTCTTTTCATCCTTTTTTTTTCGTGTTTTACAAACTACTCGTACTTTATAGAAAGTTATCTGTGAACAAAACAAAAGTTTGCAAGAAAGTTATTGATGGTAAATAGACAGTATTAGTTAATGGTGTAATGCCTACATGATTCACCACTTGCAGCCTTCTTTTAAATGAATACCAAAAGTTTCTGGCGGATCATTCATATTCCATGAATTGTGTAGTTAAATCCTAAAAGCACAGGAAACAAAACAGTTCATTCAAAATCATGGAAAACGGTCTACCAAGCCACCCACCTCAACCACCCCCCAAACCCCATTAAAAAACAAACATCAATAGAAGTGGTCTTCTTCTGAAACGTCATAGCAATCTTTTATCTCATCTCTTTAACATCATACTTCCTTCAATATTCAAGCGTAACATGATCATGTGAATACGAGACAACACAATAGGAGACTTTCTGTTCAAGCGTAACAAAGATCATGTGAACCTGAGAGAATACAATAGGAGACTTCCGAAATCCAAAATATATATAAAAGTTATCAAGCTTTTGTGTCTCGACCTATAGTTAAAAGTTTATACAAGTAGAACAAACTTGCCTTGCACAGATAAGCAGAGAATCAACTTTATGAACCAAAAAACAAGCAGAAATAAAAACCATTGCAGGTACGGCACCTTAAAGTCAACCTATTATGCATGTGGCATCACCTTGTATTATCCTTCCTAAGCCATCCGAGATCAGCTCAGTTAATTTTCAAGTAAGCATCTGTATAAAGTAAACACCTTTTACAAGATGCCTACGTTATCTAGACAGTAGTTACTTGTGTACTTGGTGGACAACCCCAAACAAGAAGATTAAGAAGACATAGCCCTTTCTAAAGATGGTCATCCAAACCTTTCACATGAAAGGGAATGAAAACGCATGCAAATTGGGGAAGGAACTAACATAGAGATGGATTAGGATTCACTAAATCACATGCAAAATCTGCAAGGATAGATAAAGTTCACTACATCTTTCAAATCTTAAGTTCCATGGTTCAAGAAATTACACTAGTTCTTTCAAAAATTAAGTTTAATTATCAAATACTACCAAAATTTTAAGCAGCTAGATGCACATTCAAAAGTTGTTTCACCAAAACAACAATATACCACAATGTAAAAGATGGTAATCTAATCAAAGAGGGACATTCCAAAGTCCTCATCATCACTCTCCTCCTTCTTCTCCTCTTTCTCTTCCTTAGCTGGAGCAGCTTCAGCAGCTGGCGCACCACCTGCGGGAGCAGCAGCAGCAGCAGCTCCACCACCAATGAAACCACCACCACCACCACCACCACCACCAATGACAACCTGTCTCAAGATAAGATGATCCTCACAAGTTAGTTGAGCAATAAAAGCCTAACCAAAACTTGCATTACTACAAGCAACACATTACTTCAGACCAACCCCAACATTCAGACTACTTTTTGTCCTATACAAAGTACAACCTGTTAAAGAAAAATAAATAAGAGACCAGTTCTATCATGCTCCAGCTATAACAACACAGATTCATCAAAGCTCCAGGAAAACAGAAACAACATTATGCAAATTCCTCAATGCGTTATTAGCAGAACTTTTGCATAATACAAAACTGCCCTATCTCTTATCTAATCATAGTACCAATTCTTAGCAAATGTAAAAAAATCCAATTGCATCAAGACGGTAAAACAGCAATTCTGGAGCATAACAAATTTAATCAGGTATAATATGCTGAAACGCAAAATCTATTCATCCTATCGAGTAACAATCCCTGCTACTAGTGACCATATCTTGTTGACTTACTCATTTTACCACACTGGAAATAGCAGTCCCTAACCCTATCTACCATATTTACGGCCAAAGTGAAAAAATTCAAAGTCTAATTCAGAACAATTTACTTAATCGGAAAAGCACAGAGTCTAATTCAGAACAATTTGCTTAATCGGAAAAGCACAAAAGAAATACATTTTCCAATTTGGAAAAATTATCTGTATACTCAACAAGAAAATAAAGAGAAAAATTCAAGTCATCATCATTACTAGGCACTTCTAACTAATGATTCTCCCATCTAATTTATAAGGCAGACAAGCAATTTCAAAAAAGAAAAAAAATCTAGAACTTTATTCAATAAATCGACTAAAATCTCGAGAAAACGTAAATAAAAACTTAATCCTGATTAACAAAATCTTAACATTCATCATTAAGCAATGTACAGAACGACTAGATCATCTACTAAACATGTTCAACCTTCGAAATAAAAGCAAATTCCTACACAAAAAAAAGTACAAAAGAATAATAATAAAAGGGGACCTGGAAAACAGCGGAGGAAGGTGTGATGAAGGAGAAGGAAGACTGAACTCCACCAGCGGAATCGGCAGCAGTGGCGGCTTGAACGAGCTTGCGCTGCAGCTCGAAAGTGGAGGCGGCTGAAGCCTCAAGATCGCCCTTGAGTTGCTTGGCGCTCCAGTCGCCGTCGGATCCTTTGACAACAAATGTATAAACTCCCATTTCTTCTTCGTCCTCCTGATTCTCAGTGTGTGTAGTGCGTGTGATTTTGCGATTAGAGTTTGAGGACGCAGCCAAAAGTGGTGGTCGGGGGCTTTTTGTATGAGCAGACGAACGGGAAACCCTAGTTCTACGATTTTGGGTGGGGTTTTGGGTTTTATCGGTAAATGACGATTTTGACCTTGAGCTTTTGTGGGTTGTTGAGCTGGGCTTGAGTTCAGGGGAAACTGGATTTGGTTGAATTTTGATGCCACTTAGTGTGAAATGAGATGGCTTGGGCCTAAGCTGAATCTGCCTGTACAGATTAAAGGCCTATTCTTTTCTCTCTCTTTTTTTCTTTTCTTTTTTTAGTTTGTGTTCTATTTCTTGTATGATCTTTGGCTCTCTTATAATGCTATCTCCTCCAGAAGGAAAAGAATAGAAATTGCCAAATTATTTGCTACTCTGGCTCCAGGAATGGCTGGTCCTTCATATAAATTTGAAAGGCGAAGCAAGTTGCTTGATACCTGAATCAAGGTCGACTAGGTTGGAGCTTAAAAATTAATCAAAACACGAACAACATTTATTTGTTCAATAAAATCTCAAATTAGACTTAAGTTTGGCTTGATTAGCATAATATTTTGGAATTTACATCATAAATTTCTAATTATTCGAATTCAAATTGATAAAAACTCATTTGAAGTTTGGATCAATATATGTACAAGTTAAATTTGAAAACAATTTCGAACTTGTTAAAATAGACAAGCAAATTTAAACACTAAACTATACGGTTTGATTAAACTCATTTATACACCTAAGTATTCATCGAACCCTACTATCTATCCCTAATGAGGTTGGGCTTTCTTAAATGGATGTGAAATCTGCTTTTTTAAATGGCTTTTTTGAAGAAGAGGCATATGTTGAGCAATCTGCAGGTTATGTTAGAATGGGTCAAGAAAACAAAGTATATAGATTGAAGAAGGTGTTGTATGGGTTAAAACAATCTCCCAGAGTTTGGTACACCCATATTAATATTTATTTTGTTAAGCATGATTTTCTAAGATGCCCATATGAGCATACTTTATACATCAAATTCACTCCTGGAGGAGATGTTCTTATTGTATGCTTGTATGTGGATGGCTTAATATTTACAGGCAAGAATCCTAAACTAATTTTTGAATTCAAGGAGGCTATGATCAGTTAGTTTGAGATGACAGATAAAGGATTCATGTCTTATTTTTTTGGTATTAAAGTTCGTCAGTTGGATGGTGGAATTTTTATTTCACAAAGAAAGTATGTAGGTGATATTCTAAAGAAGTTTAAAATGGATTTAGCTGAACCAATGATGATCTCAGTTGAAGAAAATTTGATATTGACCAAAGATGGCATTGGTGATTCTGTTGATGCTACTTATTTCAGGAGGTTAGTGGGGAGTCTTAGGTACTTAATTTCTACAAGACTTGACATCACTTATGGAGTTGGTTTGATTAGTAGATTCAGGGAATCTCGACGCCAATCTCACCTACAAGCTGCTAAGAGAATTTTGAGATATGTTCAAGGTACATAGTATATTTTATTCATCTTGACATGGTAGCAACCTTGTTGGATATACTGATAGTTTGGTGACACAATACAAAGAAGGAACACTTTTGGTTATGCATTTTATTTGGGTTCTAGTATATTTGCTTGGTCTTCCAAAAAACAGCAGGTGGTTGCTTTGTCCACAGTAGAAGCGAAGTACATGGAAGCTGCGAGTAGTGCTACTCAAGCACTTTGATTAATGAAAATGCTTGGGATTTTACAACATACGTAAGATGGTCCTACTAAAATATTTTGTGATAGCATGTCTGCTATTGAGTTGACACAAAATCCTGTTTTCCATGCACACAGCAAACATAGTGACATCAAGTCATTTTATTCATTAGTCAGTTCAAGATCAAAAGATTGTCATTGACTATTGCAGAAGTGAAAATCAAGTAGCTGGTGTTTTGACAAAACCACTCAATTTGGAGATGTTCACGAAGTTGAAAAAAATGCTCGGCATGGTGAAGTTTGAAGATCTTGATTTAATGGAGACAATATAGGAATTAAATCAAGATTATTATTATTATTATTATTATTAGTTTCCATATTGTTTGCTCCTGGTCTCTTTGTTATGTCAGTAGAGGTTTTTAAATCCAAGTCCAATTGTATAATTGATTCCTTTGCAGTTCGGGAACTATGCTTTAGGAATCTTAGCTGTGTGTGTTAGTCCACGCTCTACTAATGTATTGAGAGTTAAGAAATTGAGCAATAAAGTCAGAGAATTGCCTCCCTGTGGCTGTGCGTATTTCTTGCTCTTGGCCCGCGCCGCTGTCTTTTGTTGTTTCTGATGCCTACTCAATTCGAGTTTGTGAGACTTATTTGTTGTTTTCCTGTGGGTAAATTTCCTGCAGCTTGCTTGTTTTTTGGTTCGTAAGTTGATTTTCCCCTGCTTATCTGTGCAAAGCAAGTTTGTTCTACTTGCATAAACTTTTAAGAATAGGTCGAGATACAAAATCTCGATAACTTTTCTATATTTTGGTTTTCGGAAGTCTCCTATTGTATTGTCTCGTATTCACATGATCTTTGTGAAGGTTGAACATTGAAAGATTAATTTGCTATGATGAACTGTTTTCCATGATTTTGGATGAACTGTTTTGTTTCCTGTGCTTTCAAGTACAAAATCCATGGAACATCATAAACCCGCCAAAAACTTTTGGCGTTCATTTATAAGAAGGCTGCAACTGGTGAATTATGTAGGCTTGCACCATTAACTATAATTGATAAGTATCCATTTTACTTAATAGTTTGTAAATACATTAGTTCATTTATAGTTAATTTTAAACTCCTATGATAATGTGAGTGACCATTTTGATAATTTTTGATGTCTTTGAATAACTTTGAGAAGACTTGTGAATTTGTTCTATTTTACTTGTTAAAGTTTATCATTTTTTATAGAGATGAAGGAACAAGGAAATCTGGCACTATTTACAAAAAGTCATCACAAGATTGGCAGAAAATATAAGGTGCCGGATAGACGGAGTCAAGCATGATACCATACCAGATACTCATCAAAAAGTTTTGATGAAACAAGGGTGTTAAGCAATATGCAGGGCCGGATGGTGAATTTTGAGTTAGATACGGGTCAAATACTTGAGTGGGAAAATTTTGCAAGTTGTGCAACTTGCATCCTGCTTTTTATCCTTCTTTTCTACAATGACTGACTTTTTGACAACCACCTTTTGGGTTAAAACCATCAGTTTTTGTTAACTTTATGTCATTCTACTTAACCTCAAACTCTTCAAAACAAAAGAGACTTTTTGTGGAAGATTAAAGGCACTTGAAGAGCATAAATAGAGAGAGTTTTGTTTAGTTAAGGAGTTTTGAGTTTTGCTTTAGCTTGGAGTCTAGTTAGTTTAGAGAGGAGAAAAGATTTTGGAGCAAAAGGAAAAAATAAAGGAGGTTGAAGCAAGACACAAACTAACAACATTCATAGCTTTTTGCATTTATATTAATTTGCAAGACTAGTTTTGAACTCGTGTTATGTATTCATTTATGTAAAAACTAAGCAAGGAGGAAGATTGGGATGAAGAATGAGCACGGTGGGAGGCTCTAGTAACAAGGGTTATTCTCTTCCCCAAACTCTTTATCTTGTATTTGACTCTATACTTAGTGAATTTGCTAGTTTGGATATTATGTTTGTGATTTTCTTTTAAAGTTTATTTCTTGGGTATTTGGTTGAACTATATTTATGATTACTATGTATTGGATTCTAGATTATTTTGGGCTATTATTTTAATTAAGTTGTTTAGCACTTTTGTTCGTATAATCATTATTAACTAGCCATTGATAGTGATCATCTCATGGTGTTAGATTTTCAAATGAAAATTGGTAATTGACACTAGTTCATGGAAGTACTAAACCTAAAAAGTACAATCACCAAAGTAGATGTTTACCTTTGTGACTTATTTTGTAGTAATTTTATAGGAATAAATGAGTTTGTAATTAATTTCATAGCCATGAAAGTAGTTATGGATTAGTTATAGGTATATTAAGTATATCGGCGAAAGTAGGTATCACGAATATTAGGAAATTACGCTATAATTTAATCGATATTTTAGTGCTCAAGTAGTTGGGAAGATGCACTAGCATGAGTAAATAGGGATTCCATTATCTAATGAGCTTTCGTTTGTAATTTTCTTCCCATTAGTAGCTAACTAATTTGTTGATAGTCTATATAATAGAAAAGTTTTAGTAGTACTAGTATTATCTATCTTCATTGTAGGTTAACTCTTAATACCCAATACTCAAACACAACCTATATACTTGCAGTTATATATGGAGTATTTAGAAATTTACAAATTTAAAACTCGAGACTTAGCATGCGATTATTTTTATAGACACATCCCACGGCTATCACTAATACTGTCTATCTAGCATCAATAATTGTCATGCATAATTTCGTTTTTTTCACATATAACCCTCTATCAAGTACGAGCAGTTAATAAAACATTAAGAGAAAGGATGAAAAGAAGGAAAAAAAAAAAAAAGCCCAAAATGCTCCTAAGGTCACCACCTGCAGTCTTAAGAGCTTTTATGAAGATATTCCTTGGCCAAAATGCAGAGAGCATTTTTCTTGTGCATGGTTATTCCTGGCAAAACATCAGTATCAATATCCTCTGCTCTGATCCCAGAAGGCAATTCCCATTCAAAGGAGTAAAGAAGGTTCGCGAGTGCAAGTTTCACAGTTGACAGTCCCAGATGAATTCCAGGGCATCCTCTTCTTCCGGCACCAAATGGAATCACTTCAAAATCATTTCCCCTGACATCAATAGCATTGTTCAAGAATCTCTCAGGAATGAATTCATCTGGCCTTTCCCAGTTTTCAGGATCTCTAGATATAGCCCAATCATTAATGTAAACTAAGGTTTTGGATCCAATTTCATAGCCTTCTATGTTGCAACTTTGTGTAGTTTCTCTTGCCACTAGAACTGGTGCAGGGGGATACAATCTTAGAGCTTCCTTTATTACTGCATCTAAATAGCGAAGCTGCTGAAGTTTCTCTCCTACTACAGCTCCTTTTTGTCCAACCAAATCTCTAATTTCAGCTTGTACTTTCTTTAATGCGGAAGGATTCTTCATCAGGGCTGTCATAGCCCAAACAACTGTGGCTGCACTTGTGTCTGTTCCAGCTATGAATATATTCTGCATTGTAGAAATTAGTAAACACAAGGATGTAATTATCAATCATGGTGATTCTTTCTGGGGATCTAACGTAATTAAAAGAAAAATGAATGGATAAACAATCATCAAATGTCTTATGAAGCCGCATTTTAGGTCTCCCAGGCCCACTCTCAAGCATCCCGGCTCCCATTTTCCGCCTCCCTATTTGGAGTCTCCATGTCTAGGGCTGTCGGATTTGGACCCGGACCTGATAGTTTTTTTTGGAGTACGAGTTGAGAAATAATTCCATTATTTAGACTTGGGTTCGGACCCATTTACTCTAACAAAAGAGCAGGTCGAATATGTAATATAGGATTCCAATTCGTATCCGATCTGGACCCAAACAATATATTAATAATTATCATTATCATTATCATTATTATCATTACTATATAAAAAGTATGAATCTTGGTATTAGAGAGTGTAAGTGTAAGTGTAAGCACTTTTTTATCTTACTTTTTGTTATTCCTAAATTACGCTCATGTCTTTTAATTAGAATTATTGCATTTTAATGTGGTAATAATTAAAAGAAATAAAACACTCCAATTGATTACATCTTAATAGTATTGGTAATTATAATTAAAAATTACTCATTAAAAACTATTTACCTACCATTGCACTCCACTCTTTGTATTGGGGAGTATAAGTGTAAACATTTTTTTTATTTTAGTTTTTGTTATCCCTAAATTACCCTCATATCTTTTAATTAGAATATTGCATTTATTGTGGCACTAATTAAAAGAAATAAAACACTCCAATTGATTACATCTTGATAGTATTGGTAATTATAATTAAAAATTGCTCATTAAAAACTATTTACCTACCCTTGGATTTCATCTCCAATTATTATACGTATCAAGATTTCTTAATTGAAACATGAAATATTTCTCATTAGTCGTTAGTTAAGATTGTTAAAAAAAAAAATCAATGTCAAAATACAGATACTCTCTAGAAAATGAAGAAACATACAAGACGAAGAGAACATTTATTCATATGTATATTTTCATACAAATATCACGAGCAAATTTTAGAATTATGCACTTTTTGCCAATATAAAGAATTTTCATATTACACACAATGGAATTTCAATATACAAAAAATGATGACATATTTATAACTAAAATAGTAGTATTAAATCGGAAAAAAAGAAATCTCAAATAGCAATATACAAACCACTATTATCATTAATAGCAATCGATTAAAACAAGAAAAATTGAAAACTATTCATAAAATGACATAAAGTAAATAGCAAATGAATTAAAAAATTTAGAATACAATTCAAATAATACCAAAGACAACATTCAAATCACTTATATCCAAGGAAAGACAAACATTATTATTGACAATAATATGATAATACTTCATTTGTATTGATTTGAGCAAACCAAATCCATCCATGAAGGCAGAAGTCATTTCCAATGATAAAATAAGAATTATAATAAGAGTAAATTTAAAATGAAAAATGATAAAATGAAAATGTTATCCAAATTATTTTTGATGATGCCCAAAATACCCTTATTTTTTCTAATAATTACATATATTTATTGTATTGCAATATTAGCTAATAATGGAAACTGTTATGAAATGAAAAACTTTAAAATTAAGTAAATTTTATTTATGGTGACAATTGTAATTAGACATATTTAGTGCATTCCAATAATTGATAATAATGATGGCGGTTATGGATTAAAAATTGGCAATTAAAAAATAAAACACTACAATATACAAAAAATTAAGATTAAAATTGTTAATTAGCCACAATTCTGATACCAATTCAATGATCATCAAAAAAACTAATACTAAAACCAAAAATATTGTGCTTATATGAAAAAGGTAAACTTGTTGCTTTTGCTTCGCATTGGACTGTGCTAAAATATGAATAAAAAAAAAGAAAAATAGAAAAACTCCAACTATGTATATCTATAAACTTTCAATTGTCAGAATGTACAAGCCAAAAAAACTTTACGTCGTGAATCATTTATATTCCATTATTGACAAAAATAGAATTAACATAATACAAAAAGAATTTAAAATTACATGTATGTTTATTTATTTTTCTAACTTAATTATATTCTTCGTTTATAAAAAATTACAATGATTGTAGTTTATATGCAATAGAATCATGAATATACAATAATTTTGGTAAAACATGATGTTATCAATATTTGATATGTTAGAGTTCAAACTGTAAATCAAAAGTGTTTGGTACATGATTCCAAATTCAATCCTAAAGGACATGTCAATTACATTGGAATGTTTTCGGTCTCTTTTCATTTAATAAAATTTTTAAAAGTAACTAGCTTAAAAAAAATAAATAACATAAAAGTACTATATATATTATGATGTTGATAATCAAATTTTTATAAAAATTTTTAGTATCTAAAGAATAATATGTCTTAAGATATTACAATCACATGCAAAGCACGTGAACTATTACTAGTAAAATATAAATATTTCTAAATACAAAAGTAATTCTTTTACCAAATTAACAAACCCTAATCTTACAATCCACCTACCTGTACATCTCTCTCTCCTCTCTTGCTCCACCTGCCCATTCCAAGCTTCCAACAAAATCACTAGTTAGTCCATTCCGCCATATCCAAGCTTGCAGAGTTCGCCATCTCTGTTTAAGCTATAATCAATTCTGCCATGTCCCAAAATAATAAGTAAAAAGGTCCAAGCTTTACTTATTGAATCCTTATTTGTATCGATTTGACTGTGCACCTGTTAAATTGTAGCTATATCATCATTCTAACCAGACACTCCCCACGTGAATTAGGCAAAAAACTTGCTTAAGGAGCTGTCTATGTCCATTTAATTGTTTTTTATGCCAATCACAACTACCACTTCAGAATTGGCTGGCTTTATTATAACTGAGACAAACGAAACAAGCATTGAAATGTTTGTAGGTGCTCCTGTGATGAATCCTATCTGAACTTTGCAAACAAACTTTCAATGACCACAAAGTAACACTTCTACACATCTAGTGGCAAAAGATGATGCAAAAATTAATTGATTAGCGCGTCGATGATGCAAAATTTAATTGATCGCCAAAATTTAGACCTTGGCAGAACAAGAGCTAGGTTGTCCTAGAAAAAATGGCCAAAAAGAAAGAGAAGCAAAGAATTGTATTACAATAAGAAGGGAATTACCATGAGCAATGCTTTGATGTGATCCCAAGTAAGTTCAAATCCTGATGATTGTTCTTGTTTTATCTGGATCAAGATATCAAGAACATCATCCTTCATTGTTTCTGGCCTATTTGGATTGAGGTGCTCATCTATGAGCTCTTGGTAGAACAAATCCAAGTCCTTAAAATTCTTCTCAAGACGAGCAAACATCCCTGAGAGCTTATCAATCCAGCTCAATGAAGGAAGGTAATCAGAGATGAAAAACCCTGCCATCATGGCCTGAGATTCTTGTAAAATTTGATCAAACCTCTTCCTTTCATGCCCTTCTTCATCATATTTCTTACCAAAAGCAATTCGACAAATTATCGTGCTACCAAGCGACGTCATAATTGAACTTAAATTGATTACTTTAGATGCACAAGAAAGATTTGATATCTTCTGTATTAAGTGGGAAATTTCGTCCTGAATAATTGGCGAAAAGGATTGAACTCTACTGAGGCTAAAGAGATGAAGAACACAAACCTTCCTCATCTGCCTCCAATACTCACCATAAGGTGAAAATGCAACATCCCGGCCGTTGTATGATAATTTTTGATGGCTAACATAAGCTCTCCTTCCAGAGAATACAAGATCATGGGTTTTCAGGGCTTCTTTTGCCATTTTCGATGAAGAAATCACAACTACTGGCACAGAACCAATCCTTAAAGACATGAGAGGCCCGTACTTCTTGGAGAGTTTCCACAGGTACTCATGAGGCTTTGCACTATCCAATTGGTGCAAATTTCCAATGAAGGGAAGCCCTGGAGGACCTGGTGGACCACGAGTTTTTTTGCTTTTCTTGGTTTTTTGAAGAAGGAAAATAAGTATCAAAGGAAGAATTGAGCATAGGAAAAGCCATGCCATTTTTCTTTGAAATCTGATCACTAGAATTTGGTCAATCAAACTTCTTCCCCTTTTTCTAAGTTCATTCTTGACAAAAACCATTAGTATACAAGTTAATTCTTGCAGAAAATCCAAATTGACGATCAAAGAAAGTAACCTTGTTGACTTTTTACTAGATTAATTAAGCCTGGAACACCCTAGAATCCAGGGCTGAGGTGTGCTCTCTCTACACTGTTTGGAATTGGATACTATTTTGATCGCTATCGGATAACACGTAACTGGACAACTTAGTTGGATATAAAAAATACTTTACTGGAGCAGATAAGTTCCCCATTATTACTTTTTAATTCATTTCCCCACCACACCCTGGCCCCCTCCTCCCCACTTACCCTCCCCGGGTAAAAGAGAAACAAAAAAAAAACAACGCAAAAATAAGTTGGAGTGATCCAGCTGAAGGAACAATGGCACCATTGTTGACAGATAATTAATCAGTCCTCAAAAATATGAAAGAAATGTTAATGAGGATCCACTTTTTTAATTTTTTATTTTTTATAATGGTACTCTCATTATTTTATTTTTATATTAATAGAAAACAGATAAAAAAAAAGTAGAATTGCCATTATAAAAGGGAGCATCATTATAAAAAAGGATAATTTCAAAAACCTCCCCTGAGATTTTTGACTATTTCACTTAGTTCCCTTGAAGTTTTAATAATTACACTTACCTCCCTTGATTTGACACTTTAGTAACCCAACATTAAAATAGGGTAAAAAATTTAATGAAAACCCTAAAATGCCCTTATCTTATAAATTTTAATTTATTCTTCTAAACAATTGTAAAGTAATTTGTCACAATTATAAAAGAAGAAGAGTCTCAAGTTTTTCATACCAATATTTGTTAATTGATAATCAACTATGACAATAAATCTTTTGATATAATAGGCTACTGTTTATAGTGGTTTATTAGGGATATAGATTCTTTTTAAAATAGAGAAAAAAGTTCTATCTTTTTTTAAAAGTTTTTGGACTATTTTTTTAATAAAAATATATGGACTAGTTTAGTGATTGAACTACCGTAGTTTGGTAGTGATTTTGGACCATTTGTTTTTAATTATTCTTGATTTTGATACAAAAGAAGAGCTACTAAAAATTGGATGATATTAAAAGTTATAAAAAAAACTACTAGTTTAACGTTTAATCTAGATGGATATTAGGGATAACATTCATAGTTCTTCTATAATTCTAATGAAATATTAGAGAAATGAATAAGAAGGAAAAAGAAAAAAAATTATAAAATCCATCCATTTTATAAACATGGCAACAAGGGAGTTTTATTAAAATATTAAGGTTAATATTGTCATTTTAAATGGGTAAGGGAAGTAGGTGTAATTTTTGAAACCTTAAGAGAGCCAAGTGAAATAATCAGAAACCTCAAGAGAGGTTTCTGAAATTATCCCTTATAAAAATTAGAGTTTCAATAACTATTTTGCGAGATGAGATCCAATTAGAAGAGCAATTGCTAACACAGAAAAAAAAGGTACCAAGAGGAAAAAAATATAAAGAGACAAACATGCCTGATACTCATGAATAACGTGGTAGGTCTAAAATATCTTCTTTCCTAATAACTAAAAAAAGGAAAGCACTAAAGAAATGAATTCTTGGGACATAATAAATCTCACAATCTGACTGGGCCCTTTTTGTCGTTTGTAGAACTTTTTTTTTTTCGATAATTCCTTTTTTTGATGGAATAAAATGACATAAAATTTTTTTGAGCGACATAATTTAGCTTATATGGAGTGACACAAGAACTAATATAATATGCAAAAAATTGAAAAAAAAAATCATCAATTTCACTTTCATTGCCATTGTTTTAGAATGGATTGCCGTAATATATGACCTTTTCTTGCAATTGTTTTTTATGGTTGTGATATATGGAGAGTCAAAATGTAACTTGGGAGAAAGGATGAGTGTGGTGGTTCAGGGGGGAGGGAGGGAGTATAAGTAAAAAATCTTGAATTCGATTTCTCCCACTTATACTATAAAAAAAATGTGGGTTAAAAACAAAAAAATCCCCTATGGTATACCTAATACACAGAAAAGCCCCTCGTGGCTTTAAAACATACAAAATGACACCTCATGTTTTGAACTAAATTGTAAACTAACAGAATTCGTTAAAGTTAACGAAAATGACGGTCTTGGCTGTTAAACTTACTGGATTCCGTTAAGTTTACCGGATTCCATTAAATTTAACTAATTCTGTTAGTTTACAATTTAGTTCAAAACATGAGGTGTCGTTTTGTATATTTTGAAACTACGGGGGACTTTTCTCTGTATTAGGTATATACCACAGGGGGCTTTTTTGTTTTTATCAAAATATAACTTGGAAAGTAATAGTCTTTCTAGTTTTCTACTAGACCTTTCATCCTTTAATTTAATGTGAATAAGAATTTTGAAAATTATCAATAACAAAATGATATTTGATAAAACTTATTTAGTTTCTTTTTTTAAATTTAAACAAGAAACTTTGTTAGATCGCGACAACTTGTAACTAGAGTTGCAAACGGATATTCAATGGAATCAAACTTTCCACATTTCAAGCTCGAATTCGAATTTGAACTCGAATCCTATATGCATGAGCTCAAAATCTAAACTCAAACTCGAAATCGAGTTCTCGAATATTTGTTATTATGTATTAGTGTACTATTCAAACTCAACTCAATTCGATTTTACCCCAAAATAGTAGAAGATCAGGTACTCCTAAGAATTCCTCTTACCGAATCGTAATTTGCATATTTAAATCTTTTACCAAACCCTATTAGGTAACCCTGTGGATTTTAACTCATATTACCAAATTCTCTCATTTCAGTTTTGGAATTACTCATTGGGTATCCTCTCCCCACTAATTTGAATAATTCAAAAAAAAAAAGAATTAGTTTTCATCAAACTAAAATTAGTTGACATCATGTTAAATCAACACACTACGTTGAATTTTAAACTTGGGTAGTGCCATAGAGAAACTCAACATTTTATATAGGGTAAATTTAACAATCTTTCAAAAGAAGATTCGAATAATTATCCCACATTTTCCAACAAAGAGTTATGCAAAATGCATGCCGAATAATAGTCTATAAGACAAACATATGTGCCAACTGAATACAAACTAAGGAGAATAAAAATATTTTATAGAGGTATTAATCCCTCAATGTGTGTGTGTGTGTATGTTTGTGTCGGTATCTTTGTTGGGTATTATTTTTGAGAATTCTTTTACTAAATCTATTGGATTATCTATTAGTAATTCCATATCAATATCAAACCCTAACATATTACCTATCTATCGTCTAATCATATTAATCATCGAATCAAGTACTCATGGGTATTGTTTTTAACCTACTCGCTGTTGTTCCTACTTGATACTTCTCTAATTAGATTTTAGGAGATTAGAGTTGCAAATTTAGATTATACTAGTCAAAATAATATATTTATGGTCAGTGATAGCAAGTTGGTAATGCTAAGAGAAAGGCGGCACAAAAATAATTAGGGTCCCAAATGAAATGACAAGAACAAAGAATGATTATAAGAACTAGAAAACCAATAAAAGTATTAGAACAAGAGATCATAATATCAATCAACGACAAAAAAGGAATTTAAACGAAAGAAAAGAAATTTGTATAGCACCTCTACCCTAGTAGAATTTATGTGATTTAGACACATTTTCATATCATGAAATACTTGAAATAAATTTAGAAAGCTACTATAAATTTAGATATATACTAGGCAAGAACTTAATGATAAGGCAAGGTGACACATTTGATATTTCAAAGGTATTGTTACAACTTTTTCTTTCGTATATTAGCAAATTATGATTCCCAAATTAAATTCGTAGATATAATGAATATGTTGTTAAGTGAAATAACATAACAATTCATTAGATGAATTATTATTATACATGGTATACATTTGATTCCAAGCACAATTAATCTTTGTTTTCTATTATTTCTCGTAATAAATCTTAAAAGATGCTTTTAATAGACCAACATGGGTAATATATTTTACTAGGAAACAATCCAAAAAACCAATATTGGAAGACATATATATTATGTTTGGTGCAGAACTACAAGAGATTCTTAAAATAGTTAACAAAAAAATGACTTGGCTATCAAAATTAAGCATATTAATAGGTAGAGTTTGAATTGAATCTCTTTAATTCAGATCCAAATCTATTAAATTTAGTTAGACTCAAACCCAAAACTTTATGAGTCTGAAAAAGTAAATCCAAATCCAATCCTCATAGGTTTGGATATCCATTAGATATTTGTGGGTATTTTTCTATACATATAGTGAAGAATTAAAGTAAAAATATTTTTAAAATATATAGAGCTCAAAAATAAAATAAATACCATTCAATTTTTGTTTTCAAATAATAAAATTAACATTCAAGAAGTTGAAGGCAATATTAGGCTGGATTAGGTAGTGTTTTCTTAAATTAAGAGTGTATGCTTTAATCTAACAACATGAAATTTTACTGTATTCAATCTAAAGGTCATTCTGGATAGGTTCTAATTTGGATATGGGTTTAGGCATGGATCATAGAAAATCAGATTTTATCCAAACCCATGACTCTATTATAGGGTTTAGGTTTGGGTTTGATAAATTTAACTTAAATCCTACCTAAGTATATTGAGCCGAGGTTGGGTTTGGGTAAGAGCCGACCCATTGACATGTTTAATCATAATTATTTGGGTTTTATCACTTTAACTTAATCATATTTTTAAACTTTTCACTAATTAAAATTGGTATTAAGCAAATTTTTACTCTTGTATAAATCATCATATGCACCTAAAAATTACTGCAGCTAAAAAATTTCTGACAAGAAAATTAAAATTTAAAAATAAAAGCAAAAAAATTGATTGGTTCTCTTTCCATTACACATATAAAGCAATTTGAAGTGTCAAAAAGTTTTTTGTTGTTTTAATCATTAAAATCGATGTATTTGAGAAGAAACAAGTTGCGGTGGCTTTTCAA